TGTGGGATGGAAGTTATGTATTCATAAGCCTTTGCTAATAAGGCTAAAAACTATTCAAACATTTGTTAAGTTACTATGAATTGGTAAGCAACAACCTACATCTAATTTAATTTCCCCCTTTCCCCCCAGAAACCATAATTTGGAGAAAGAAGTTCACTATCAGTCCCAATTAAAATATTTACTCCACTATGTATGTCTGAAAAAAGAAACAGCTTAAAGCACAACGAAGTAACATACATATACCAGTTTTAATTTTATGCCGATTGATGAGAAATGTATGAATGCAATCTTCTGTAGATAATAATGTAATACTCTATACAATATGTACACGAAACCAGCATTGCTTTTACAAAAAGTCCACAGAAATGCCTGTAGTGTCCTAAATGCTGATTCCAGAAAAGTGGAGCACTCAAAACCTCTTGGTTTTCTTATATGTAATCTGTATTAAAATCATAGGCATCATCCAGATCACCAGCCTCTATGTTGAGCTGTTTACCTACAGAAGACAAAAGAGAGAGACTAAAATCAATGGTTTGTTCTGAGTAGCAACATGGAATTAGTCTTGCAAGCTCCATTTAACATGCACCTGTAGGCAACTTTCCCCATTTTTCATTATTTGCTTCCAGCTCTTCAGAGAGTGTGTTACTGCTTGCCATTCTGTTGTTTTCCTGAAATAAAGTGATAAAAGATGTAACTGAGTGCTGATTTCGGAAGATAAACAATCCTGAGTAGATATTACTTAGGATTGTTCTTTTAAACAACAGCCTGCAGTTAGTTACTATGACTTCCCACTTTCAGATGGAAGGGAGGCTAGAAGACTGTGACTTGGTTGCCTACTCTAGTCCCATTCACATTACAGTGAATGCATGTACCATCTATGTACAGAATACACTTGACTCTTAAAAAATTCTAATGTTGAGTAACTGAAGTTTAGCGGAACATGATACACCCTCCCATTTATCCAAGTACTAGCCCCTCATTTCAATTACAAAGTGAATGCATGTTGACTTTTCTTGCAAAGAGATGTATGCGTGTACATGCAGGATGCACAAGCATTCACTGTAATGTGAACAAGGCTTCTATGTAACCAGGACCAAAATGCCATTCCTACTTTCTCTTTATTAAGAATACTCAACATATCTGCGAAGGAGTACAGTGTTAGAACTAGGTCTCTTAAAGCTTACACTTTTACCTCTTTACTTTCCACTTCATCATCCTCATTTTTAGAGAATTCCTCAGCATCTTCACTCACTTCCATGCTCTTTTTTTTCAATCCTTCCTCTGGCAGTTCAGTATCATCTATAATACCATCAGTGAAGCCGGAAGACTGAAACGCAATGCTGCTTGCCCGATTTGGGTATTTAATAGCTGTAGAAGAAACATCGATTATCCATGACACATGACACCATATTAGCGCATTGCCAGAACCTTCCAGCATGGTCTTTTGAACAAGAAATCCTACCCAGTATCTGGACAAGGAGAACACCTAATCCCAGTATTTGGGAGTGAGGATTA